GTATTGTAGTTGATTTAAGAGCTATAACAACGAACGTCAATAATACTTCTGACTGCAGTTCAATTACTCACTATCTATCCACACATTACATTCCCCTCTTTTATATACCAGCCTACCCTATCTAGCAAATACTAGAGCATTCGCCAAGATACGGGATAGTTCTAGAAACAAGAGGGCGTGAGAATTGTCACGTGATCTCGATGACGCAACAGTATGTTTGTAAGCATACACGCGTGTGCATACTTAGGTGTGGTAAATATTTATGAAATTATAGTAGTTTAAAATGCAAATCGACTTTAGTACCTAATTCAGAAAAAAATAAAAAGAATTAATAGCGAAGAATACTGTTGAAATGAAGTAACAATTTATTTTCTTTTTGATATGTGGAGCCGAAACTTTGTTGCTTGTACAACTGTTTTATTAGAATTAGAGAATAACTTTGGTAATAACTTTTAAATTACCCTTCGTGAAAAAAGTAATGACTTTAACAATTCCTAAATGGATTCTATGACCTAGCTAGGTTAGTTATATATTTTGCAAAAATATAACAAATTATCTGGTGCTTTAAACTGTAACTAATAAATTAATTTTTGGATCTTTTTTTCAAAATCCAGCTGCAAAGGGTAAATAAACTACTTCGTTTTTAATATGAGGCCTTAAACTAGAAAACACAGAAAATTTAATTATTATAACTGAATACTGCTTCTTTAAAATACATAACATACTACATATCTTTGTTAACGTATACTTATATTTTTATGGTGATAATTTCACTCAAATAGAACATACTTTGAAATTCTCAAAAATATTATTTTCATATCAGTGAGAGTTCATTTACAAATTACAAAACGCAAATTAAAAATGTTCTATTTAATTTTTAGCCCATTACAAATTTTAAGCTAGTTCGAGACTAATTCAAAATAGTTATCAAAATCACCTTTTTATTTATCATTTATGGTAAAACGTTATGTCAATAATCATTTTATAACTTTTTGAAGTTTCTTTTAACAGCAGAGGGCAGCAGTAGAGCGATTAGTAAAATAGGAATAATTTTTTTTTTTATGATGGCCGTTGTATGAATTTATGATATAAATTGAACAAATCTTTATCACACAGTAAGTATAATGAAAAAACTTTGGAATTAATGTATTTTGAATAAATATAATATGTATATAGTTTGTTAACTAAAATTTAACGAACTGAAATGTTTCATTTACGTACTTATAATGAGTAACTGGACTCTTCATAGTACAAGCATTGGTAATGGTACTAATAGTTATTTAGCAACTACTACGATACGAATAGTAATATTACTATATTATTAGTAATACATTTATGGCAATATTAACATAGAAGTTTGATTCTTTTAAGTCCAGTTTCCATTTCGTATACTAGCTTGCTACTGTTAGTGCTGCCAATCACGAAATTAAACCTATAGGCTATATACATTTCATGGCAGTGTTATTTTCTCCTGTCTAGGTGATGTTGATGGATGGTGTTTACTCTTGATTTATTGCTTGTTAAATTAGATTAACTACGACTCCTAACTAGTTTGTTGTTTGTGTAGTAACCAAATACGGTAAGAAAATTTTGAGTTGAGACAAAAACAATTATAAATGTTAACTTTCAAAACCATTATTTTTATGAACTAGCTCTACGGTATAAATATATCACTAAAATCTTTGTTGTGTATATTGCCAGTCTTTACCAGTTACCAAAATTCTACATATTTCTAGTAATAGTATGCAGATTGTGGGTAGTTGGTGATTTGTAGTGTAGAATGTAAATAATGTCAAGATGTAAATATCTCAAACATTAATCTGTTAATTAATGTGTTTGTTCTCTGCTTCTGAAGACTTTGCTTTTCTTTTTGTACAAATCTTTGCTTCCTAAAACTTTCATATTCTTGTTTAAAATATCCTGGGATTATTCTGATGTATGTAACATACTATTGACATCATTGTATTTTTATCGATGAAGTTTATAATGAACTGCTTGTGTTGCATTCATGAAGCAGACAATATTATCTGATGATGAACGATACGACCGTAGAAGTGATGAATAACAACATACCGTATTTTTCAGAATATAAGACGCACCCTTATTTTGAAGACAAATTTTGGGGAAAAAAAGCTACAGTTGC